TTTTTTTTTTTTTGTTAGAATAGGAAGACCTTTTTTTCCTAGTTTTAGTTGTCAATATACTGTAAAAGCATTAATAGCTGCATAGAATGAGTGCTTTTTTTTCCGAAATACTTTTTGGTATTTGATGATGTGAACGATTGATGCATTAATTACTGCTCTATGAATAGATCATACTCGTAGACAATCGATACGGCAAAAAAATATTAAGAGGACGTAACACTGTAAAATAAAGCAAAAAAAAAAAAAAAAATATTTACGAAATAAGTTTTATAAAAAATCTGTAATTTCGACAGTCAGTCGACCGGCAGAAAAAGCCAAGTTTTTTTTGTTTATTCCAAAAAAAAAAAACTTTTATAGTTGAACAAAAATCACAGACATTATCCATAAATATTGAAGCCAAATATTCGCATATATCTATTGTTTAAAAAATGCGAAAACAAGTCAGTAGCGGTTGCAAAAGTGACAGTTACCATCACAAATTTAACAATTCATTGAATGCTCAAACAAAAAAAAATAAAAAAGATTAAAAATTACGCTATTCTATACTGTTATTAGTCGGATTTTATTAAAATAATTGCATTAAAGTCGAGGGCTTTCACATGTTGCGTCTCTTAAAAAAAATTTTTTGTTTACACTTTTTTTCAAACTTATTTTTAATACTTTTATTTTTTTTTTGCCTTCGTCATTCCTTTCAGTTAGTTTTCGAGTATGTCCCCCAACTTTTTTTTTTCAGTTAACAAAGTTAAATTTTAGTATTTACTGTTGCTAGATTACTATACAATAGTTTCGCTTTCATTTTTAGACCTTAAACTGGAAGCATTTCCTTCGATACTGTTTAACCCTGTTTTTTTTTTTTCTTTGGAACCTTCAAGTTCAAACTATATGCAGTGTATAGTTTAAACCCGAACATTATGAGACTCTTTTTAATCTGTGGTCGAAGTTCCACGACATCGTTTTAAACCTCACAGTCAGGTTTCCTTTCACCATACGCTAAATATTCGTTTTGCAGCACTGTACGATGTTGTCAATTGAATGCCTAATGATGGTTCTTCTATCGTGAAAAAGTTTCTCACAGTCGATATAGATGAAGAAACCGACAAAACAGAATCGTTAAAATTTATGAGAGAAATATGAGTGATCGGATGAAAATCAGCAGCAAAAGAAGTCATAATATTCTTCTTTTTTTGTCAATTTTTTCAACCATATGCGGTTTATCGCTTCTGGTTTTCAGTGTCTGCAGTTCTGCATGGCAGGTAAATAAGTTGTTTTCAGTAGCAAATAGATTAAGTGTCTAAAAAAAACTTTTTAATTTTTTTTCTAGTACAGATTACATCAGAACTTCAAACTGCAGATTTATGAACAATTATTAAACAAAACAGCACCTTCTTTTGCCTGTCAAATTCGTCTGCTATTCCCATGGTATTTTACATAAAAGAGAAGATGAGATTACGAGAACTCAATTATCACACTTTTAGAAAATTTGTGATTTTTGATTTAAATTTTAGCTTGAATAGCAAATCAGTTTTAAAGTTAAACATACTTTTTTTGCAGTCATTTAGATGGTAACGATATCTTAACGAGTTTGAACAGAACTTTTACTTCACTTCAATCAGATGATTCGGAGTTTCTTCTTCATTTGAGATTAGATAGTTGTTCCAAATGTCCATAAAACAGTTTTTCGTTGTACTTTCTAAATAAATTAAAAAAACAAATGAAAATTTTTGCACTACAATAAAATTTTGAAGAACTGTTTGAGGAACTTGAAATAACGTTTTGGGAAAAAAAAATTTTGGTTGATTTTTGCAATAGCTTTTTGCTACTTCTGATGTAATTCAACACGCAAAAAGAACTTGAAAAAACAAGCGCAAAATTCAAAAAACATTTTAAAAACATCAATTTTTTGGTTAACAAACTTTATAAAAATAACGATATTGCAAATATGGAAAAATTTGAACAAAATCTTATTGAACGAGACTCCTGCTATCTTTTGACAAAGAGTAACAGACATGCGTTTAGTGAATTAGCTAAATTTAAACTGACGTTTAATATCTGTTCAAGATTAGAGCAGTGTCAAACCTGAATGTTCTTGAAATTTGGTTTGAAGTGCAGTTTATGTGAACTGTTCAAGTTAAAAAATGGTCTTTCAGTTTACTTGCTGTGAATATATGTATGAGTTGCTGGATTTCAGGTTGTTTATTTACGCGAACTTCATGTTTATCATCAGCACGGAGTTTGGTGGGACTGTATACAACAGGACGGGAAGGTTTACTCTTTTAGCAGAATATTGAAACGAAGTACAATTATGTCACCAGAATTGAAATGCTCTCATAAATTTGACCTAGCAGCACAAAGTGCTTTAGATTCAGTAATTGAAGACGGTGAAGTATCTGCTAAGGAACTACAGCTTCATCGAATTCTTCGTACGTCTTTCAATCATTTATAAAGTTTTTATTGTTTCTGTCTATCAACTGATCAATATTATTAAGACGTTCTTCATTAGAAGGAAGTCTTTATAAAAGTTTTTTTGATATTAGGAATACGCGAAATGAAAAACGAGTAACACAGTTACAATCAGCTATCTGAATAACATTGTATGGATCAATCTCTAGGATAATTGACTCTGCAAACTAACAGCTTTGTCAGAGTGACCGAATTAGACTAGTTTTGAATTCTGACTATTTTTTGGTAAATGAAATAAAGTTGTAGTTGCAACTTTTTTACTTCAGTAGTTCGTAGCTGATGTTAATCTCTCCTTCTACCAGCTCTGTCAATGCTTTTTTAACAGCCATAGAGTCCCCGTTTTACTCGTTGATTAGCATATGGTTTCCAGTAAGAAACTTGGTCGCTGTAAATATCCTCAAAATTTTATCAGCATTAATACATATACATAAGTTGACGAGTAAAGAATAAAAGTATAGTAGCAACGTGAAATGCAAAAATAATTTTGTAGTTGATTTCTTGTTTGTAAAAAGTTTTTTTCAGTTTTTATTCCTCTGAAACGATAAAAGTAATTTGTACTTGAGAAATAAAATTAGATATTTAAAAGCTATTTGTTGAATAATTTTTTACCTTGAAAACTCACTTTTTTTTAATGTTATCGCTTTGAAACATCAACGTCTTTTTTTTCGTAATGTATGATGCACTTATAAATTCTGTTTTTTTTTGTATCTTTGGTGATCAAGAAGACCTTTACAGCCAGATATCAACTTCGTGTGTCAATTTCTTTGTTTATCTATTCGGTGTCAAGTTAAAAAGAATGACATCTAGTATAGAAATAAAAGTGCTTTACAAATGCATTATCTTTGTGTAATTATGTAAGAAAAAAAACTGAGAGAGCTAATAACTTTTTAGCCCAGCACAAAGCTGTACTTGTACTCAGCACTTTTACGCTTATATTTGGTGTGGTTGGGATCACGTTTGGATTACTTTCAGTTTGTTCCAAACTTTGTGCTTTATTTTACGGTACACTATTGTTTATTTCAGGTTAGGATTTTTATTTCAGGTTAGGATATGTTTTGAGACTTCTTATTTTCTGCTTTTTTTGCTCGTTTTTACTGTTAATTTTATTGTTAAGGTAACAAAAAGTATTATTTTTCGAAATTATAAGCTGTTGATAGTTTACAATTAAAAGTTCTGTTAGCGTAGTATTTATTTGAAATCATGAAAAAGTATTTTTTTAGCAAGTTGTTCTGGTTTAGCAGATCTTGTATTCTTGTTAGCAGCAGCTCGAATCAACATTCGTTATGTACCAGGAATCGTTGATATTTATGAGGTACACATGACAAAATAAAACTAATAAAAATTAATACTTTTTTTGTTAATTCCAAAAAAAAAAACAAGAGGTTTGGGTAAAGCAATGATTCATTTCTAGTAATATGTAGCGAAAAGTGCTACTCATATGGTCTTGAGCTTCCTTGTTGCTTATCTTGAAAAATTTTTGTATCATAGCATTTAATGTTTTTGGCAAAAAAAAAGACTACTTTAAACCTTGTGTTGCTAATCAAAGCAAATTTGCAGCAGCGATTAGGCTATGCAGTAATCTTTCATGCTGGAGCTTCACTAGTGTTATTTTTTTCATTTTTTGTCTCAGTTATATCTGGATGTTTATTAGTTTCCCCAAATTCATTAAGCAAAAGACGATATTATAACAGCGACTACTGCCATTGTCAGAGTCCAGAGCTACGAGCCTACCAAAAGTAAAACTTTTTTTCTGTTTTTAAATGGAGTAGTATATGACCATTTTTCCAAGAAAAAAAGAATTTTAATTTGCACTTTTATAGTCAAAGCTCGTTAAGTATTAATTTATGGTAAACATAAAGTGTTTTTCAGAAATCCGCTGCACACGGTGTTGGAGGCACAAGATGAATTCATCAACGATGATTTGTCCGAAAGCAAAGAGGGAGACACGTCACCGGTGTCTCTTCTATAAAAGCATAATAAATTGATGGAACAAAAGCTGCTAGTAAACAGTTTACAGAGCTTTTCGATTTTAGACTAGAATTTTTATTTGGCTAAGTAAGGGTTTTTACACAGCATAAATGTACAAGAGTGAATGCTGTATGATAACAGTAAATCAACTGTTAATTACAATCGCTCTATCTGCATTCGTTTCTTATACCAGAATACACAGTAATTTTATCTGTTCATATTATTATCTTATAAATCTTTTCGTCATTACAAATCATTCAGTCAGACAGACAATTATGGTATTTTGATGTACTTTAAGTAGCCATTTTGTAAAATTGTTATTAAATAGCGTGATATTTATACTGAATATTCACAAACGTTACAATAAATATTGAATGTTCTTATTTTGCATAAGTTTCTAGAATGTAAAAATTTTAATTTGTGCTTTTTGCCGTAGCAGGATGTTACGAAGACCTAAAAGCGATATATGATTATTACATTAAGTTTTATCTGTACACTCCTCAAAAAGAACCAGATTGAGTCCATTACACTTTTATATTTTGAGACTGTAAAAAAGATGTTGGAAATATTTTAAACTCAAAACCGCAGTACTGAAAATCAAAGTTAAAGTAAGCTTTGTAAAAAGAATCTTCTGAAATAAAAGCGATAAACGGTAGCAGCTGCAAGTCCAAAAAGTTTGACGACTACAGCGGTCACCTGACTGAAAAAAATATTTGTCAAAAATAAAATTCTGAAAGAACTGAAATCCAGTTTGTAGCAGTACTGTCTCTTCATAAAGCTTTTTTATAGTTTAATTTCTCTTCCAAACAGTGTTACTCATATTTATCCCAACTCAAAATCTTACTTGTTTTAGTTTTGATACTGAGTGATACTTTGATTTTTTGCTAAAACTTTTCACTTTACTTCTAGTTTTATCATGGTAAAACTTCACTCGTTTACTATTTGACTATCTATCGTAAAGCTCTACTAGGATCAACATTTCTGTTATAATCTGGAAATCCTTCATTCGTAATCATCAAATTTTTTTATTAGCTACTTTTTTACTTCTTTTTAGCTCGATAAAGTATTATAAGGTAGTGAACCTTTTTTTTTTACTGCAGACTTCAACCGGTCTTGATAGGTGAATTTCATAAAAATTTGGTCGACCAGACGTAGGAAGCAATTTTCAATCAAGTTCTGCTTCCTGCACTTTCTCCTTTTGCAGAAGAGCTTAGTTTCTAATTTACAGTACCAGTCTTATTGCTGCAAGAGTTACGGATATGACTCGTTTTATTTGAAATTCTATGTTTATTACTCAGCATCTCACAGAATGAAACGATTTTCTAAAGGTCAATTCCTGGTCAAATTGTGGCCAATCGTACCCCCTAAGAGACTAGAAAATTCAAGTCTTCTTTGGATTGTAAGTCTGTACTTCTAAAACGAAGGTACTTGGGAATGGCAACGACAAATCATTATGCTATATAAAACTGCACTGTTTTTTTACGACTTCCAATTAATGACAACAGAGGCGGTGTACTTTCATTTCCTGCAAAATTTCGATAAATAAAGAAGAGGATGTGAGAAAGGAATGACGGATTACTGATGATAAAGCAAAAGTTACTAATATTTTAAAATAGTGTAAATTGTAATCAATTTCTCTCTGTTTTTTATTGCTGATCTGGTCACTCTTACTTTTCTGCGTTAACATTGGCGTGGTGTTCTATTAACAATGTTACCACTTCAACGTGTTCGTTCTGTACTGCAATATACAATGGAGTTTCCTAAAAAAAAAAAAAAACAGAAAATTAATATGTAATGATCAAACTCGAGCGTGGATTAAATTTGCATCAAAAATCACTTACATTGCAAGTTAGAGCTATTTTGGTATTTCACTGCATAGACTGAGATTCGCAATGAGAGAGGAAGAGAGTTTGAGGAAACAAAATATAGGTTATGTGAGCAGCTACCATAAAACCCCTTCCCTTAACTTCTTTACAGCTTTTCATATAAACTTCTCATATACTCTTCTTAAAAGCCTCCGCTTCTACGCTTAATTACCCTCTTCAAACAGAACATCTGGGAACGATCTGAGCTTTAACGAAGTATTAAACATAAAACCTTCAGAGATTTCATTACCCCCTGTACTGCTTTCTACAGCCCGCAACTTATATTACTGGTTTTTACTGCAGACATATCAACCACAGGAGGCGACGGAGGAGACGGGTGCAATATTGCTGGACCGCACAACATTTACTTAAAAGGAGTAACCATCATTCGAACAACACCTTACCCCCTCTTTATTCGCAGCATCAACCTCTGCACCTCCTTTCAGCAGTTTCTTCGCGATTTCAAGTTGCCCAGTTTGACATGCGATCCACAAAGGTGCTACCTGAAACAAAAAAAAGAATTTATGTTGTTTCATAGTTGAAAAAATTGATATGAAGACAGTTAAAAACAACATTTGTTATGATCAGTCAGTCAAATTATTTCTCCCGGGAAAGTACTGTGCGATAGTTAGAGAAAAAAAAAAGAAAGATAATTTTGTTGTTATATGACTTCAATAGAAGCAAGTTACTTGATCATTATTTTTTATTTTTACATCAGCCTTGTTTTCTATCAACAGGTCTACCAGTTCTGGCTTTTTGTTTCGAACTGCAACATACAGTACCGTTTCCTGAAATTGAGTATCGCTACCATCTGAAATCCGATCTTTTTGTTTTTGTAAACAACTAACATGGAAAAGAAAATTAAAGCTTTGCAATTTAAAGAACCTTTTCAGATGAACGTCCTAGAATAAAGAAATGCGTAGGACAAACTTCTTCTTGAAACTTACTTCATCTTTATTCTTCTCGTTGATTTTGGCGCCGAATTTTAAGAGACATTTGATAATATCACTTTGAGCGCTCTGACAAGCAGTCCACAGCGGTGTCACCTGAAAAAACAGTTGCGCATTGGACTTTTTGCGGCTGAAACCATTTAACTTGCAAAATAACATAAATGACTAGAAACTTTTTAAAATTTGCTCGACCAGTGAGTTATATGCTTTTGTCGTAAAAAATCATTATTTTATAATACATAATGAACAAGAGAGAAAGAAGTGTAGGTTTGTTTTCTCATATTATTATGAATTTGCCTCGTTTTTATCTTTCGCGTTTACATCAGCTCCTCGATTTGCCAACAGGTTTATCAATTCCGTCTGCTTGTTTTGGATTGCAACAAATATTGGTGTTCTCTAAGATAGTAACAGTACTGGTGATCTTTTGTGAAATTAGATTTTGAGCACTCAAAAAAAAAAATAATTATTGAAAATTTTTTTAAAAAAGGTTGGATGTAAAGTCTCTACCGCATATTGTAATTACAGAAAAAGTAAATTGTTTTCATTGTGACACTGCTGTAGCGCACATGAGTTTTATTAAAATATTTTGCTTTCACAAATTGTCTACCTGCTCTTTATCCCCTGCATTCACATCTGCACCTTTCTCAATGAGATATCTGGCAACATGTAAATGCTCGTTTTGACAGGCAACCCATAAAGGTGTTACCTAAAGTAAAACGGATAAGCGCTTTCCAAGAATATTAAATTACAAGCCTACTTAAAAGACTTTTTGCAGTAACGATTTCCAAGGCACTAGTGACAGTATTGCTACTCCACGAATAAATGGTCTTTAAAGTTGTACGAAATCTTTGCTAATTTCTTCTTAACAAACACTTACATCATTTTTACCCTTAGCATCAACTATGGCACCATGTTCCACTAAAATCTTTACTACCTCAAATTTTCCACTAAAAGATGCAACCCATAGAGGCGTTGTCTGAAATGGAAAGAAATACAACGTCATGCATAAAATTTTTATGTTTAAAATATGTCAGATAATCATGAAACACTTCATGTGCTTTCTTCCAAGCATAATTACCGCTGCTAAAAAAATGACATCAAGTTGCAGAGTAAAAACGCAACGTTTACATAAGAAGTATCTTTTATGATGCATGCAGCAGTATTTTACCTGAGTTTCTTTCTGTGCGTTAGTATCCGCACCACGGGCTATCAAAAGCTTCACAATTTCGGTATGCCCGTTTTGACTGGCTACCCATAAAGGTGTTATCTGGAACGTAGAAATCAATAACTTTTAAATAGCTGCGAGGAATATTATGACTTATGAGTCATTCTAAATTTGCATTGACCGACTGCATCCTTAAGTAATAATATTCAAATTTATTCTGGTATTTATGTAATTTCAGATAAGCACTCTTATCATCTTTTCCAGAGACGTCTTTCACCCATACAATTAAAGTTTATCTCTTTTTCTTTGAATGCTATTTTTACCTGATGAGTATTTTTTGTGTTAATGTCGGCCCCTTTATCGATCAAAAATTTAACAATCTCAAGGTGCCCGTTTTGGCAGGCGATCCACAACGGCGTTATCTAAAAAGAAACAAGGTTTTAATATTTTTTAAATTTAACGGAGTTTTTTCCTCCTACTCTGTAGATTTCCAAGTAATGGCTTTTAAAAAGCTCTACAAATAATGATACAATATCATTTGAGCTAATAATTGACAATGTATCGACTAAACGAATATTACTTTTTTCAAACCTTAATATAATTTTACCTCGTTTCTGCCTTTAGCCTCAATGTCACAACCACGTTCCGCAAAAAATTTTACAAGTTCGAGAAAGCCATTCTGAGAGGCTATCCACAAGGGTGTTGCCTAAAGTGAAAGTTAAACCTCGAGAATTTTAAATGAAATAAAAAACACTATTATCACTAAAATAAAGTCTAAAAAGTATATTATATGAGTTTATAGCTGTGATTATTAGTTTTAAATAACAGTTTTGCACAATTCTATAATAAGTATCTTACTTTTGTAAATTTTTCTGCGCTGAGCTCAGCACCGTTCTCCATCAGCAACTTCACTACTTCGGCGTGCCCGTTTTGGCTTGCTATCCATAGTGGTGTTGCCTGCAATTTCCGTAGAAAACGGTCTCGCCTCTGACAGCAGTAATATTTCACTAATAAAACCTTTTAAAAAAGGCACTGCGATGCAGAAGAAAATTAAAATTTTGTTGGACTTTATTCTTCCAAAACTATCTAAAGATGCAATACATCCTTGTGAAACCTAGCAACTTTATGAATTATAAAGAAAACTATATGAATATTTTATTTTGGACACGCATACCTGGTTTCTTCCCTTTGTATTTACATTAGCTCCAAGTGCTTTCAGCACTTTTATAACCTCACAGTGACCATTTTGAGCAGCCACCCATAACGGAGTCTCCTGAAACAGATGTAAAAATATTTTACACCATTTGGCTGACTAACTTTTATTATCTTTCAAACTCTACTGTCTCTTAGAAAATATTTGGATGCCGGTGACAAACACATTTGCGAGTTGCATGCGCATTTGTATTTCGCTGTTTTCTATTTTTCTTATCTTTCAAGAACGTAATTCCATCTTTTATAACTTTTTAAAAGGTTACTATTTTCTTCAGCTTTCTGATATAGCTCATGCATCAGATAAAACACCACCAGCTCAGTCTAGAAATTGAAATAGACAAGCACACAGGTTGCTTTCAAGGCCTTTTTGAAAAAATAATACATCACTTGCAATTAAAAGGAGAGAGTTGCAAGGCGAGCATCTCTTGAAAATTGTGCTGCTATTTGGCAAATGAAAAAGGCTCACCTTATAACCTCTTCGTTAGTCAACTTTTAGATTCGCATTTCAAAGCTTGATATCAAGAAAAGTTAAAAATTGCTTTTACTAGTTATTCAAAAAAAATTTTTCCCAGTTGTTTAAACATTTTTTATTTAGAAATGTCATTCACACTTCCTTTTGGTCACCCTTGACAGTTAGATCACTGGATAATCTCCCCTTAAGAGTTGCGCTGTTGTAATCTCACTATAATTTAATGATGCGCCACGTTAAGCTTTAATTGAATTTCGCCCAAAAATTAATATTGCTTTTATGAATTTACTGATTGCCTCAGTAGACGCTATCTTCTGTCATCAATAATTATTTTTGAAATTTATGCTACTTATCGGCTTTTTTTCAACTACCTAATTTGACACATAAAACTACATTTCAGTGAATTCACTGAGTTTAAAACAGAACATTCAAATGACAGATAAATGAGTCGTGATGGCAAAAAATTAGTGTTATCAGTGGAAGTCTTTTGAGTAAACGGATTTTCAAGAAGCTTAGAAAATGCAAATGCAAACTTCTAGATCTTACGAAGTGTTATAACGTAAGGTCAATCTTGAAACACCATTGTTTTATATTTTGTAGTGGTTTAGGGCGATTTATCTTTTGTTTATTATAGCAAATGTTTACGTCATCATCGTTAACCGCATTGACGTCAGCTCCAAGATCTCCTAGAAGCTTGACAGTCTCTGCGTGACCGTTCTGCGCTGCGATCCAAAGTGGCGTTGCCTGAAAGTACGCAAGAAAAGTTCTTAGCGCAAGCGCATATCGGAGACCTGAAGAAAGAAGTTATTGTGTAAGAAGGCAAACATGGAATTTCTGAGGCACTTTACAAACTACGATTAAGTTATTAGAATGATGCTTGTTATGCGATGAAAGAGTGCACAAAGAAATTTGTTTTTTTTTTTTTTTTTTGAGAGAGGAAATTTTACTTCGTCTATGCCTTTGACATCGACCTGAGCCCCATGTTCTGCCAAAAGCTTTACAATATCCGTATGTCCGTCAGAGGCTGCCACCCACAATGGAGATCCCTAAAGCAAAGGAAATTGCTCAGTGGTCACGAAAACCGGTATTATAATTTACCTGTTAAAGAAACAAAAATCTGCAAAATTTTTGAAAACTGGCTACAATTCATAACTGCATCATTACTTTATAGCACAATCAATTTTAAAAGCGAGTACAGTGTTTCAAGAAGATAATTAATGTGAAATGTTTCAATAAGTTTTCACCTGCATTTCATCCATTCCTTTCATTTCCATGTGTCTTTCGTAATATTTTTTAGGTAACCCCATTCTACAGTAGTAAGGGTCTGGAAAGCGGCTCATTAGCTCTGGCGGATACATTCTATATCTCCTCATAGTTTCTCTTTCGTAATTCCTGTATCTTGAGCCATAATCAAAAGCATTTTCCATCATGTCTCTATAAATTTCTGCGTGTATGTAGGGATAATCATCATACATCCGCCTTCTTTTGTACCTGCTATAAGAGACCTTTACTTCGCTTTCAAAATCGTCGTCCACCTGAAAATGATTATGGAAATGAGAAGTGGTACTTTTCAAATGTTCCTAGTTTTTCCTGCTGGTAAAGGCCCTAATAAAAATTTTTGTTTGAAGGAGCGCAGTACAGGAGAAAAATTTAAGATTTTTAGAGTGCATAACAAATTTCACCATTCTCTGGTTTATCGGTTCTTTTTTTGAGAAGATGTTTTGAATTAGTGTTTGGGTATAATTAAGTGATGGAAACGTTTATATTTCTGTGATACTTTATTATTTTTGATACCTAATTTGATCTTATCAAAAGTGCTTCAGGGTGAAATCTTCAATAAGTGTTGATAAGGTTATTAGTGTACAGTGGAACTTCGATTTTACAAATTTCGTAAACCTGTATTTCCATTTTACCAATTAAATAGCGTAATTTATCTCAAAATTCGGGCCTGTGGACAAGCTCAAAATCAGATCGAACGGATTAAGTATTTATTTAGCTACAACAGCACACGGTCATTGCAGTTACTCATTCTTTTATAACGTAGAAAGTTCAGTAAACGTTTATCTACGGCCAGTAATCACTCCAGCATACGCAATACTGATTACCCTTGGCGTATTTTAATTGGCAATAAAGACCATTTATAAGCAAAAAAAAGCCGAAACAGTTGGTAACTAAAAGCGAGGCTCAGTGTGTTATAATTCTGATACTAAAACAGATAGAAAAGTGCGCTTTAAGCTTTTGTTGAAGTCATTACACATATAAACTAAACTTTACTTAAGAAGACTTCTAGAATGACGATGAACCAAATGAAGAAAACTGAAAAGAAATTTGTGTGTTCTGAAGATAAAACCAATTTTGATGCTCGTCCAAAAGTAACTAAGGCTTTATGAATCTTCAGTTTCATGAACCAGATTGGAAAATCGTCAGTTCATAAAATCGAAATTCCACTGTATAGCAAAGGATTAGCAAAGCGGTGAGTGGTATGCTCGGTAGGTACCATATTCTTCCTTTTTCTACTGGAAGAGCTGGGGGGTTGCATTCTATCCTTGTTCATCGTAATGAGAGGGTTAACGAGCCACTAGCTTCTTAGTTTACCGTTGCCATATTCTAAGATCGAAACAGTTTTTAACGGTGAAAACTTTTTATAAAGAACATGCATTATTCTTAAAAGGCGTTCTCTAAAAAGGCGTTGTATCGTCAGAAAAGACTAAAAAGGGTTTTTCAATAAAAGAATAAACCGAAAAAAGAAAGAGAAGTTAGAAGCAGGCAAAACTGGTGCACTCACGCCACCCAGGTGCTTCAGTTACAGTAGAAAACTTTTTTATCAAATTTAATGTAGCGCTTTCAAAAGTTGGACTGCATTGTTTGATAAAGAATGAAGTTACGTATGATTGTCGTTTTTGCGACGCTTTTAACAGTCCCGAGTTTTCGAGGTTATTCAAAAGTTTATTCTATTTAAAAATTCATAAATTTTCTTTTCATTTCAGACGTTAGCCGTGTTTTTGTGCTATTATACAAGTTTTACTGTAAACAGCAACCTTGAAACAAAACAACTTGCTTTTTTTGCAAAATGTCAAATAGTCTTTTGAACAAATCAATTTAATTTGCTAAATATATTTCTGATTTGACACGTCGATTATTTATTCTGATCCAATCGAAAGTATCCAAAATACAGGGCAGTCATAGCACAACTGCTATCAGTTATCAGTTTTTGCACAACTATCACTAGCAAACTACTCCAGAATTAGAATACAGTTTTTTTAAATAACTGTACTACATAACGTGGTCAGAAAACGTCCACGAAGACACTTCATCTACCGGATTCTTGCTGGGAAAAATCATTTTTTGACTAGTGCGAAACCTGCAATGTGAAACTTGAGTTTTATTTACTTTACTTGACATTTTCACTGTGCTGCTGAAATAACCGTTTCTTAAAATTGTTTAGAGACAAAAACACACACTTTAGATGTAATTTCTATCAGTCATTTGATCGATTTTCATTCTCTGATTATTAAAGATTTATGAACATTTTAAGCAAGGAATTTTTGAGCGACCGAGTTAAACCTGATCAAAGCAATAACTTTGATCTCAAGCAACGTTCTACGGCTTTCCTCTGATTACCTGACTAATCATAATTTTCTGCGGTTGTGAAAAAAGCAGATTTTTTTGCCAAAACTTCTGTTTTTGAACATTCTCTAGACTTTCCCGAATGTTGTCGAGGTATGCGCAGTTCTCTTTAAAAAATTAGTATCTCTAGAACACTAATATGCTTAATTTCGCAAAATGTTGCTTTACTACAAGTATGGTCTCTCATACGGCACAAAAAGTGCATTGGAAATTTTTTTGCTTTATAAATTTTTTAAAAATAAGCGATTTTTCATTTTTTTTTTCTTGTATAGTTGAACGTTAAAAACAATATGCTTAAAAAAGCACGAATCAGTTATAT